TGGTTCCACGTACCAAATACTCCAACCACCAGCTGAACGACCAACATCCGGAATGAGCTACCGAATTCATGCAGCGTTGGCGATCGCCCGGTGCGCTGTGCAATTAGCAGTCCCACATGGGATTCTGTAGAAGGGGCTCGTCTTGCCCCTAATATATTTGAATGTAGGATAATTTACAGAGCCCTTCCCCTCAATATAGTTTATATGTAAGTTACGGAGCGCATCAGTGACCAGCTTACAAAGCGCTCATTAATGTGTGGCACATGGAGCGAATAGTGAGCGATAAATGTAAAATACACGTGCTACGGGCAAAAATACTTTGTGAACCACGGGTGCGCAGTGAAAAATATATGTACCACGAATTTACTGTGTGCCTCCAGTCCCTCGTTTGCTTCGAAAAGCCTTGGTCCGCAGAGAGTTCTCGAACACTCCTTCAGAGAAGATCGTCATTTGTGTTTCCTATAACCAGTTGCGAGATTTTTGAGCACTTAGTAATGCATCAGGTATTTTACATATAAAATACATTGAGTGAAAAGGCTCTACAAAACACCTCACATTCAAATACATTGGGACAAGACGATGCTCTTCTACAGCATCCCACGAAACGGTTTATAGTAAAAGCATGAATGAACGAAAAGGTGCTGAAGCAAGGCAAAGCCGCCATTTCATTCATGCGCCACCACACCTAGATTTAGCGCTCAGTCCTGAAATTAGCGCTGGATTTATCAATGTTTGGAAAAAAATACATTTTATAAGGTTTGAAACAAACTGCATTTTAAACTGGTGTAGTGTATCTGAGGCTGCGCAGCACCAGCATTCTGAACTTGAATCATTCACAAGCTCTTTAAAAGAAAAAGGAAACAATCAGAGTCATCTTTTTTGCTCCAACAGCTAATTTTTCACCAAATTATTCGGCAACTCTCAGAATCCCCCGGTAAATCTAAAATTACCAAGAACACCAAGACTGGCCGAGCTAACAGTGTGGGTATTATCCCCTGTTAGTGATATTACTAGGATACTCCCACACATCGAGCGCAGCTATGCTAGGCTATTGATCCTGGGCTGCATACTTCCAAATAATCTGAAATAAAAGCAACAAACATTTTATCAATGATTACAGCTTTTTTAAAACAAACCAGCAATCCACTTAGGAGTTTATATTATCCAGACGGCAGAGAAATATGCAGCAGTGCATAGTAGCATTTGCTGTAACAGCAGAAGAAACGTGGTTATCAATTGCTGGACAATGAAAGGCGTTTGGTTGCTGGAATGGAGGGGCACGAAAGCGGTGACAGGGGAAAGTAACCATAAGGAAGTGGGTGGGAAAGTCAAAAATTGATTTTGGATTAGGAAACAGTCTATGAAAAATTTGAATTTCAATCGAATTCTGCTCGTCACTCCTTTCTATACCTTCCCCACATCCTTTTCGAAATCCAGCTGTTGAATTTTTGTTTCCTTATTCCATTTATCACTCATTAAAATAAAGCTTTTTCGGGGCTTTCAAATTTAGCTTATTTGCGGCAGGCTGCCGCATTGTCCGCAAGTGCAGTAGCAAAAATTAGAAAAGTTAAAAACGGCCTGTTGCAGCGAAGGATTCTGGAGCAGCAAAACCTAGTCAGAACTAGCAGTGCCACTTTTACAACTGCTTTAGCATTTACCAAAATTTACGTCAAAACCGCTGGAACAACGCTGTAACTAAATTCTTTAACTTCTAAAAAATCCTATGAAGGAAAATGCAAAAAAAATCAATCCATCACTGATGAAAAGAAAAGTGCTCCTCATCAATTCCATAGAATAACCATTCCGACTATACATGAGTTCAAACCACGCCACTTCTGGATAAGTAGCACAAGAAAATCATCAGCAGCATGGTTGAATTAAGAATTGATTCTTTGGCATTATTGGCAGTTAAGACTTGGTGATTGTACTCCTTCGCAAACCTTTTGAAATTTGACTTGTTGGACCATTTTATCTTTTTTTTTTTCCAGAATTTTAGCCTTTCTTCGACTAGAAATATCCAGGTTAGTTTCAAATTTCGTCAGATTCGGGTTGATTCAAACAACATCGAACTTGTTTTCACGTCTCAAAAGGTTCCTGCGATGCTGGACTTCACATTCTGCAGTGTATTGAAGAGGAAGACTTTGGTCTGCTTCTTAAATGTTATGGAATGCCCTGTTAAATCCAGCTTCGTGAGTTCTTGTATCAGGTCCCCCTTTCAAAACTGCGTTGTGTAATGAAATAAGTTCATGACTCGTCTACAATCTGAAAGCTCATTTTGCTTTCGCAGAGCTTTTATAAGCCAAAAATGTGGATTCATTTTCGTTGTTGTAAATGAAATAGGAGTGAGGAAAATTTTTCTTGGCCGGTGAAGTTTTTCAGTTGACAGCTTGTGCTAGAACTTTCTTCTTTGGTCAACATTCCTTTTTTTTTCACACGTATCACTCGCGTCCCTCAGTCTTAGCACTCCTCTCCAGCACCTACCTCCCAGGCAGTTCGATGTGGAAACTTCGATGCAACTGTAATGGAGCCACTTGCGATGTTTATCATCAGCTAGTTCCTTCTCATTGCACTTTGCCTTGTGGGTGCGGATTTTTCCGGATGATAGGTAACATGCACTGATTGTCTTGAAAACGAGCAAGCGTCCTTACGTTTTCGTTGCTCTGAATTAAGTAGAAAATTAAGATGACTGGAGGAATACTTTCATGAAGTTATACTGTCATTGTCATGGAAATAGGCACATTGACCGAATTTAGGCGATAGTTCAAGTAACCTACACTTTCGCTCTTAATCGGCATTTAATTTTCTCTCTTAATTCCTAGGCATTTGTTTCGCTTCTGCTTCACTAGTCCCATTAAAATGGCATCAAAACAGTGAGCACGATTCCTCCAGTCGGACACTGTGAAAAAATGGGCGATACTTTGAAAGTTTTTGACGGCCCTCCGACAAGCAAACTTCAGTTGGTAACTGTGACGCGTATTCAATTCCTGGCTAAAATATACATAGCTATTCACTTCAATTCTATCTCGCCTTGCTGTTCATTCCTTGCAAGCAAAGCTTTTTTTTTTGCTGCAAAGTTGAGTTTAATGTTTAAATTCACCTAGATTCCGTGCATGCCGTTTGCTTTAACAGCACCTCGTTCGTTTTAGCGGAGTCTTCTGCAGTGAGAATTAAATTATCGGCGAAGTATATTTGCTCTTCACTGATACTTAACCACTGTACCAGCTCATTTTAGCAGTGTCCCGTTGTGGAATGTATACCAATTCACCGACCGAAACATTTCTGTTTAGCTGATTTCTGTCAATATTATTTCCAGTATAAAAAATAATTATATGCTATTTTCATTTGTTTTTTGCCAAATTTTACCTTCAAAACTTATCTCAGCCTGAATTGTGAAGTTGTCTCCCATCTGTAGCTGATGGTGTTTGATAATCTTTTTCCATTTTTGAAGTGCTGTTTTGTTATTACACTCAGTTCTCGTCATCGAAGCAGCAGACAACTTTCTTCGTATTTTGAGCTTGTCCATATTCACGTGATTTCGTGCAGGCTTTCAAGCTTAATATGTCATCTGGTTGGTCATCTGGTCATCTGGTCAGCTTAATATGTCACCTTACCTGTGTCCTTTTAACATTGCGTGGGTGCCTTTTGATAATCAGCTTGTTCTTTTTTCTCTTTCATCCTTATCGTACTAAGAGCGCAGCTGTTATTTCTGGCGCGCACTATCTTGATAACAACGATCATACTGCCTTTATATGTGCTACGAATATTGTACCCTTCGACAAGCTCTTTCAGAAAATAAAGAATATATCAAAATTTGGGGCTGACTCCTTTTACTAATTCTGTTCTGACAGTGCCGGTTTAAACGCTAATTGGGTTGCATTTGTCTATGAACCACTATTTTTAGCGCTAGCAATGGTTGTAGAAATTTTAAAGATACAAACAATGAATATCCCTGGCCAGGAAACCGAAAGAGAACTGGGGCCTCAAATTTTCTGTGTTAAAATATGCAGTTTGTATGGCGTTATTGGCCCACCGTCGAGAGGAACACAATCGAATTTTGAAAAATTAATGAAAAGCTGGAAGTGCCATTTAGATTTCCCAAATACGTAAGCCTGTATGTGCGATGGCTAAGTAGCCTCTCCGTGTTTCATCCATGAGCTGCAAACACAGGTGGTAAAATCGGTGCGGAATGGGGTGGAAATTATTAGTACAATGCCCCATTCTGCCATGTTAAAAGGAACATGTTGATTATCGAAGGAATCCCGGAGGCGGTAAATTAGGCGCAAGAGGGCTCTAAACGATCAAAAATGGGAAATACACGTCGGTTGAGCTCGTTTCGGCTTTTCCTAATGAGTGGATGCTCGTGAAGCTGCGGCCCTTAATGAATTGCGTCATCTTGTTCGGTTTCCTTAATTCTTCCGCTTTCTATTTCAACTTTTCATGTACATTGAAACCTATGGTTTTATTACCATTCGTTCTCAAAAATATGCCAAGAACAACCGATGGCTTTGCAACGAGCTGCTTTGAAATGTATGATAGCCGGAGACCTGTGCATAATAATTGCAACGGAAGCAATGCAGTGCTTGGGTGGCCATT